CCCCCCCCTTTAGCGGAAAGTGTGTGGTGTTTGGGTTTATTATTATTTATTGATGGATTTTAATTTTATATTAATAATTTACAGGTGCTTGTACTGCTTTTTTATTATTATATAATCTTAATATTTATTTCTTTTTCAGGGCCACGTGGAATTCTAGGCATGTGAGGAGCTGCCGTATCCCAGTCAGAGCCTGACCGAGCGTTTCCTTAGTCACTGGGCAGAAGTAAAACAAGCACCACTTCTGCATTTTAACCAGAGTATGAGGGAGGTTTGAATGGGCTCAACTCTCCCTCCGATGCCCTGAGTAAGCTCTGGACCAGCCCTGCCCTGTGTGATGCTGTTTCACAGCTGCAGGCGGGTGCTGGGGACTGGGTGACAAGCCTGTGGATGCCGAAGGGATGCGCTGTGCCTGGACAGCCCGGCAAAGAGCACCAGTGCCTGCTGCCATCCCAACACCGTTAGGCCAACTGAAGCCATGTTGGTTAACTTGCTTGAAGGGCTTCTCTTAAAGTGCTGAAAATTTTCTTCCAGGCTTGAGAGAGCTGTGGTCTGACCCAGCTCCTGCTGATGTCCACCTTAAAACTTGCGTTGACTTTTAGCAGGAGCTGGGCTTAGGAAGAAGACAAGTTGTCTGTGCCAGCTGCTGCTCAGGGGAGAGAAATAAGCTGTTGGGTAGGTTTGCACCTGTACTATACACGCTGCATCTTGTGTTTCTTAATTATTTGGAGGCAAAGGATCCTGGCAGAATCAGGCTGCCTTGAAATGGTGCTGGTTGAGGGATGGGCAAATTAGAGTTAATGCTGGTGTGGAGGCGCAGCGCTCTCCCCTCCTGCTATCATGTAGCTGCTTCTTTCCAGTCATCTCAAAATAGGTAGGTATTTCTTGCATTCAAGCATGCGTCCTGCCTTGCAGAGCTTGTGCCTCCATCCCTGTCTTCAGGGAAGGCAGAAAGCTGCTGGAGATGCGCAGCAGTCCTGCATCCTCCAGCTCTGATGTGGTGAAGTGTTAGAAACTAAATTATTTTTTTAATTTCTGCCCTTGCAGGGTGGGTGTCCCTGCAGCTGCTTATCTTTGGCACCCTCCACTTTTTACTGCTTTTGTGAATGCTTGGACGAAGATTCAAAGGTGTCTTATCCCCCCTGCCCTAGAAAATTAACTAAATGCTCCCAAATCTGGGTGCTGTGCTAGGGAAGGGGGAGGCAAAAGTGTTTTCTCTGAGGGAGAAGGGTGCTCAGAAAGAAGTGAGCTTGAAGCTAAACCTGGGAGGTGGATGGCTTGCAAACAGGCTATAAATAACCGTGAGTAGATTGAGGAGAGCAGCCCACATCTACTTTGGCATGGGCATGCTGTGCCCATTTTCTTTGTTGATAGCAATTGCTAATGTGAATTCTGGCACTCCAAATCCTGATGCCTGTTGTTCTGATAACATAATTAAATCTTAGGAATGTGAAATATAAAAAGCTTTGAGAAGAAACCAGGCCACTAAGTGGGTACTGGAAAGGGGGGGTAGTGGGGTGTGTACATACTGAATAAGCAATGGGATCCCTCTAGGCAGGGATCACTGCCTGCCAGCTCACAGGTACACTGGGAGTGATCCTGCCCTTCCCTATGGAAAAGGGGGTGACCCCCAGGGCATCTGCTGTCCTAACTATGGGCTGCAAGGCCATCATCTTCCAGGATTGCAGCACATAACGGGCTCCTTAGGTTGGCAAAGGGTCAGTTCCTACCAATGCCAGCAGCTTGGGTTCCTGCTGCCCTTGAAAGCCCGGTTCTCCTTGGGGTGAGTGTTGTGAAACGTTTTTATTTATTTTTAGCTTTTGTTTTGAAGTGCTGAGTACCTTCTGGAGGTGATGTGGTCTTGGTACATAGAGATGACTGTGGGTGTCTGGGTACATCTGGCCATGTGTGAGCCAATGCCACCACACAGCTGGAGACCACAGGGGAATGGGTTTTTCCTAGCTTGGGTGGTGGGGTGTGGGTTTGGACCAAGTGCCTCCCAACCACTGAGAGGTCATGCTGACCCATGGACATGTCGCCAGGTAAGGTCCCTGGTGCTGTGGATCCTGTGTTGTGGGAAGCACTGTGTGGAGGGACCATATTTATTGCTTAAATTAGATTTTTGCAGGTGAAATAAGCCTCCAAACATGTTAATGAAGGAGGTCGCTCATGAGAGTTAGTTGGGGTGGAGGGGTACAGGGATCTTTGTATTGCCCAGCTTGTTGGTAGTACCATTGCCATGTAGCTTCTACTGTGCTCAGGGTCAGATCGTGACACCCTGAGTTTCACTTGCCTGCAAGTATTTTTCTGTGCTGTTTTGCTGAGGAAGGCGCACAGCAGAACATGAAACAACAGCTGTTATCTGAAGAAATCAATGGCAGGTGTGACCCAGCAAAAACAGCCTATGTAGGACAAAGCTGGGCTCAAGTGAAATGGAGTTGAGCCTACGGTGCAGTTGGTGTGCGAAAACGCCTTGTCCTGGGAGGAGAAGGGAGGAGGAATTGTGAACAGGGCTGTGAGCGACCTGCCTAGAGAACATTTTGTCTCAGATGACTTGATGTTTTGTGCTGGGGAGCATCTGGCTGGAAGTACCACAGATTGAGCACCTTTGTGCAGCAAGGTGTCTTTCACAACAGCAGGACCAAGGGTTCCTTCGTAGCCCTCTGTTCCCTCCTGACTAGCTCTTTTCATCCCAGTTAAAAAAAGGAGAGGAGAAAAAAAAATTTCTAATGCAGTTTAACAGGAGGAGAGTGAGCAAATATGTTAGTTATTGTTACCTGTTTCCTGTTTGTTGTTCCCTCTCGTACAGCTGCACACTTCTGTGCACAGCTGGCTCCTCTGCCCTTTCAAAATGATCTGTTGCAGAAAAGTAAAATACTTGCCAACCTGGCTTTAAAAAAAAAAAAAAAAAATTCCCCAAAAGCCCCCCAAACCCCTGTTAATATTCTTGGGCCTTGTTTGTGCCCTGCCCCAGCAAGGGGAGTTTGGCACAGGCAGAGATGAAGGCTGGTGCTGCTGCCAGCCAAAGCAGCCAGTGCTGGGCAGTGGTGCCAGCGTTTTCCAGCGGCAGAAAGTAGGCTCTGGCATCCCAAGGGGTTTTGAAGGCTTTTCCCCAGGGGCTTTTGAAGCAATATATATTGTAGTCCTCAGGACAGAATTGCTAGGAAAGGGATGTTATCAGTCTTAATAACATAGGAATTCGGGGAAACAAAAGTTCAAATGACGACCTTATCCACAGGTTACTTCTCCCTGGGGATAACTCAGCCCACACACTAGGTACTCTCTGTTCCCCAACCTTCCTTATCTCTTTTTTTCTGTGCTATCCAGGTGGTGTTATGAACCATCTGCTGCAGTGATTCAGCAGAATCCATTTAGCGCTTTCCCAGAGAGGCCAGCATCTGCCAGGCAAGGGAGAGACCGTGGGGAAGCCCGGCACATCTGCTGCCGTGTCTGCGAGCGAGGTCTGGGGTCAGGCCCTAACCTCCTCCCGGCCACCCCGCAGGGTGCAGGTTGCATGGGGGAGCACAATGATCTTCGCCTTCATCACTGTGGCTTGTCTGGCTCGATCCGGGTGGTTAATTATCAAATGGCTGTTTTGGCTTCGGCCACAGAAGAACCTCCCTTGCACTCTGCGATGTTTTGCAGTGTCTGGCCGGTGCTTGGCAGGCGCTGGGCTTCCTGGCTGGCACAGGATGGGAACGAGACAGTGCCATCTTCGTTCCCAAGGTCATACTGAGAGAGCTTGGACTCAAAAGCACAAGTGTAAAAAATACAGTGACTCCAAAGTGGGGGAAATAAGGTAGCTCCAGTCCAGCAGGATTTTGCAGAACAAATGTGATGCAGGGGTCTGCAAGAGGGGCTCAGAAAAGGCAATGCCAGTTCTGCCTTGGTTATCACAAATTCCAGCCGTTTTCCTTGGGTAGGTCCTTCAGTGTGCGAATCACTTGAATTTTGCTTCAGGATGGGAGGAGGATAATTGTTCAGATAATGTGAAAGATTTCATTAGCAGTGTTGACTTCCCAACTTATTGGTAAGATTCAAGCTCATGCTTGGCAGAAACTGCAGGCAAATACCGAGTCTGTATACAAAGTAACTACCTGGCAAGGTGTTTTGAAAGCCTGTATGCATTTGAGCCTC